GCGGGCAGGAGAGAGGGCGGGCGGCTCACGGGCAGGCAGGAGGGAGGGCGGCTCACGGGCGTTATTTATCTGGTCCTGCTGCGCCGTGGGCTATGACGAGTCACTGCCGCGCCAAGATCGGTGGCGCGGCAGCACCTGCCACGTCACCGGTCAGCGCCCCGGTCGTCGCCACGTCACCCCTCTCGCCGCGCCACCATGCATGGCGCGGCACAGACTTTTCGCCGTGCCATGGCAATAGGTGCGGCTAAAAGTATTAGTTTTAAAGAAAAAATAGTGTTAGATTTAAAATTAGTTTAAAAAGTGTTAAAAATAAAAAAAATCGCAACGGGATTACGCAACGGTGACAGAACCGGGCAGTGGCCAGTGGTGGTGCAGTAGTGCAGTGCAGGACGAGATGTGGTCACTGGGGCTAAGATTTGACGACACGAGCTGTGACAAAGAGTCCTTTTGGTTCTCACTCATGTGGGTCCAGGACGGCAAGCCACGCCGATGGAAGAAGAGCTATTGCTGATAGCCCCGTGCCAAAATGCGCACTGTTGGACGCCATGATATGGAAAGGTGGCGTTTTCGTTAACCAGACAGAAGATTGGGCCGTCACAGCGAAGATAGGGAAAGAATGGAAGAATAACAAACAAAGACAGACTCTCCGATGTCCAATCCTAATGCTGCCCAAGGATGTCGTCGCTTCTTGGAAACAAACGCCCACTGGGCCGCCGCGCGCACCACCTCAGAACACCAAGTGGCTTTGCCGTCGAAAGTAGCGCGCTAGCGAGCAAGGGAAATAGCATTGAAAAAATCCACATTACCTCCCTCAACTTTAACGAAAGTCCGCTTTTTCTGAACTCCAAAACCGGCCAAAACAACTCCCTCAACTTTTAAAACCGTTCATCTTACCTTCCTGCCCTGTTATTAGCGGTTTTAAAGACGGTTTTGTCTTTTTTCTTTTTTATTTATTTTGACTGAATCTTTGAAAAATCAAAGTAAATCACAGAAAATCATATAATAGGGCATGCTTTAGTACAAAGTTTTTGTTGTGGCTTTAGATTTATGTTTTCCTGTAATTAAATTGAATAATTCATAGCTGCAGTTTCTATGGTTGAATTGTGGTGAAATTTTTATAGTAGGCTAATTATTGTATGCTTAAACTGTAGTAAAAATTTCATACTCATTGGATCATGTATAACTTAGTTATAGATTTTATTTAGATTTATGCTTGTTAAATATAAATAAATCTATAACTAAGCTATACATGATACAATGAGTATGAAATTTTTACTACAGTTCAATCATACAATAATTAGCCCAGTATAAAAATTTTATCACAATTGAACCATAGAAACTGCAGCTACGAATTATTCCAATTAATTTCAGAAAAACATTTATCTAAAGCCACAGCAAAAACTTTGTACTAAAGCATACCATATTATATATTCATTATGTAGATCTACTCATGTGGAGTCCAACAAAATTGGATTTTCTATTTTATGATTTTTCTATGATTTATCAAAGATTCAGTCGAAATAAAAAAAAAAGACAAAACCGCATTCAAAACTGCTTATAGCAAGGTCAGGGAGGTAAGATGAACGGTTTTAAAAGTTGAGGGAGTTGTTTTAGCCGGTTTTGAGAGTTCAGTGAGGAAAAGCGGACTTTCGGCAAAGTCGATGGAGGTAATTTAGACTTTTTCCAATAGCATTAGGACAATGCAAATTGACATGCTAACAACCATGACTGAGCAGTACCGGATAAATAAAGAGAAAATAAATAGAAATTGACATGCACTAGGTAGAATCGTGGGTAAAACAAACATCCAAAGCCATCGGCAAGATTCTGTAAGAGTAGACATATATATCAGCCGTGTTAAGGCTAATTTGGAAACTCAAACCCCCATGTGATCCCTTACTTTTTTTTAGGGTGGGAAATTCATGGAGAAATAATTTGAATAATTATTTAGTTCTTTTTTGCGATGAATTATTTAGTTCTTTTTTGCGATGAATTATTTAGTTCTTTATCAAGAGTTTTTCATCCCGGGGTATGCCTCCCCTTCTTCCAAATTAGCCCTAAAAGGAGAGTGAAAGGAGATGCATCGTGTTGACAGCTAAAATTGTCCTCATCTTGCGCGCTCAACTCTATATCGGAAGTTTTGGCTATCGGAGGTTACGATGTACATCGGACGTTCCGACCCACACTTTGTCATAATGTATACCGGAAGTTCCGACCCACATTTTATTCAAGGGTATGTTGCACAAAAAGCAATTATACGGTAAAACCATTTAGCAATTTGGTAATAATTATAAAATTTACGATATAATTCGATATACATGTATTAAATAACATGACTAATGATAAGCCTTAAATTTGAAGATTTAAGTTAAAAACATCAATAATTTATAATATAAAAAAGTTTAAACGCTATAATGTCAATCCAAAATATTATTAGATACAAAAAAGAGGAAGAGACCTACGATACCAATTATCTAAATTTTTTAGGCAACGCTTTCTAATGATATTAATGTCTCAATTATATTATCTTCATCTATCTCAAAGAAAATATCTCGCTGAGTAAATATTTTTTTAGATCAAACAGGAGGGGTGAAAGCTTATTGAAAATAAAATAGTTGATACAAAAATGTTCAAGAAACAAAAAGGGAAAGAAAGAAACTGAGGCAAATTACACAGGGGCTTCTAGCCAAAGAAATTGCATAAAAGCGTCTAGCCATTGATCAATGAAAGGGTGATATTTTTCCTTTGTCCTTAGAATAACTAAGGCAAATTCCTACTTGAAGAAAAGCTTGCATCGATGCAATGAAGGAGCCACACCATTGAAGATAGCATCATTTCGGATAGACCAAATGGCCCAGCACATTGTGATAATCACCTCCATGCAATAAACTTTCCAGGTCTGAAGTGTTGGGAACTAGCAAGTTCAAGCTAAACCAGCAACTCACAGCGAAGGGACAATGGAAGAAGAAGTGGCAAAGATCTTCTTCAAAACCCAAAGAGCAGAAAACGCAAGAGTAATCCTCAAGATACATATTCTTGCGCTTTAAAAGAGCTCTAGTATTCAATCTGTCCTTAAGAAGAAGCCAAAAAAAAAACTTTCTCTTATTTTGGCATGATGACTTCCACAACCATTGATAACCCTGGTGAACTTGACGGTGGCCAATCAAATGTTTATAGGTTCTGTTGGAGGAAAAGTTAGGAGAGCCCTAGATGTAAGACCAACTGTCCTCGGCTGGATGTAAGTTCAGATTTTGGAGCACCAGAGAGAGTTGCTGAAATTGAGCATGGGCCTCTTGTGATAAAGGGAGATGAAACAAATCCTGAAACTCTTGAGCTTGAACAGCTTTTTTTTTTAAACTAGCTTGAACAGCTGACTGAATAGTAATGTTTGGTAACCTTACAAAAATAATAAAGCTCTGGATAGTGATGTTGCTCAGTAAATATTACTAGACAGTCATCCAAAATACTCTCGCTCATCTTATTTCCTCATCCACTTTAAAAAAATTGTCGCTTCATGGATGTTAGCCATTAAAGTAGACTGGATTTTTCGAAAGAAAGAAGAAGAGAAAAGAGCAAGATTGAATCTCACGCTGATCGATCAGGAGTTGAGCTCTGCGCGTTAGTCCGTCCAGTACTCCAGTGTCCGATTGATCGACTCACGAGTCCTGTTGTTTGGCTGGCAAGGCGTCACCGCGTGGAGCCCTCGCCGGCCTCCCGACTCCCGAGGAGTCCCGTCGTCGTGCGGCGGCTATGGTTGTAGGCCTGCAGGCTGTCCCTCCAACGCCTCTCTGATCTCGTTAGACTTCCGAATCCCTAATTCGGTAATTCCCTACGATTCCCGTCGTGTACTCGTGCGGCCAGGCCATGACTTCATCGCGTGGGCCGTGGGCCTGGAAAATTCGAAAGTGGAAAGTGGAAATGCTGCAAAGCAGCCGCACGCTACAAGTCCACTAGCGGCAGCGCCCGTTTTCCGTTCAATCTTTTTCATGTATTTTTTTGTTTTTTTACAAATATATACATGTATATATAGGTCGTCTTTCTCGGCCCTTCGCACTAAAAGTTTAACGTGAGATAACTCTAAAAATTAATTTATTTTATTTAAGACAGAGCAAGTATTACATTACTGTTTTTTTATGCTTGAAACTAACTTTTTCTATCATCTTAATTAGGCTCTTAAATCGACGTCCAACTGCGTACAAACTGAGTTGTTATTGTTCATTTAGCTGGCTAGCTTTGGTTGTGATTGCATAATAAGTTTCAACTTTCAAAGTACTCCCTCTGTAAAAAAAAAAATTTTTTAGCACAGTGTCATATTTTAGTATCTTGAGTTTGACCAATTATATTAGATAAAAAGTATCAATATTTATAATGATATCAAATAAATATCATTAGATTAATTACGAAATATATTATCATAATAAATTGATTTAGAGTAAAAAATGTGAATACCATTTACTAAAAACTTGGTCAAACATAAATCATTTTAACCCATAGTTGTATTCTTTTTAGGAGAGAGGGAGTACTCTCAACTCTTTCATTCAAATAAAAAATAATAATATTCAAGATGTTAAACTTGTTGGTTTCAACCAAATAAAAACCAAATCAATAAATAGTGTTTTTCTCTCATAAAAAATCAAAGCACCACCAAAAATTTCAAACCAAAGCACCAAGACCAACCAAATGAAACGGGCCCATTGTTTTTTTTTTGAAGAGAGTGGGCACTTGCTCAACTGGGCAGAAGGTTACATCGAGTGCCACGGCCATTACTCACACGCCACGTCGTTATGTGCACCATTCTTAAACTATTCCTAGAGCTCGATCTCATAAACTATTCCTTTGGAAGTAAAAACAATAATCTACGCTTGCAGCAGTGTTTGCTATACTAGCATTCGTCTTGCCATAGGCATTGAAGCTACTATAGAGCGAGGTGCCTGACTGCCTGGTGCCTGGTGCCTGGCGCTGGCGGCTGTGCGCCTGTGCCGTGGTCGACGCGAGGAGCAATGGAGGGCGGCGGGAAGTTAGCATACAGCTACAGCGGCGTGGAGCCCCGCAAGTTCGGGCTCGGCCTCGTCGCCGGCCTCCTCCTCGTATCCTGCGCCTACTTCTCCACCGTCAAATTCGACGCCGTCCACATCGTCATGAGCAAGCAACCGATTAAACCACAAGCACGTAAGGATCCATGCAGACCGAGTTCTCTCACTATCTGCTAAACTCATCCAAGAGCTGACGACCGGCTTGTTCTTCATTTCCAACGATTTAGATTCGGGCCTGCAAGATCAAGGTGCATGGTCGTCGAAGGAGGGGAGCAAGGCAGAGGTGCTCGAGAAAGATGGCAACGGCGGCAACGGCATTTCCTCTTTCGGGCAAGGTGAATCAGGCAAGCATCCATTTGGAGGTTTGATTAAGCCATTCCATGGGGACCGAGCTGACCTCTTGTTTTTGGTACTTTCGCTGGTTTGCAACTCTGAACGCAAGGTCCTGTAAGCTCGCTCGAGGAAAAGCAGAAAGATGAGACGTTTGCGAGGAATAATGGTGATGCCGCAGGCGTTGCTGTTGTCTCTGCGGACCCACCGGATCTAGCAGAGGAGGGTGGCAAGGATGAGGTTCCTGAGAAGGATGATGACCCAAGTGCCGTTGCTGCTCTTCCTCCCTTGTCATCAGATTCCTCAGACAGCACGCAAGAATCATCAGGTCAGGAAGCAGCCACCTTCAAGCCTTGAACTAACCCAAATCAAGCTTCCCAGGATAAGTCTGTGATTTTGTTCCTACTTTCCTGTCCAGGTGTTCTCGAAGATCAGGAATTGCAGGTGCAGAATGCTATTGCAGCAGCTGCTAATCCACCCAAGGAAATCAATAGTATCAGCAGCAACGACAACGGCAGCTCCTCTGAGACTCCGTCTGATCCAGCTGAAATCCCTGTTCCTGCTCCCTCTCCAGAAATTGAGCCCCCTTCTTCTGCTAACGAGATTTCTGCTACTTCTTCGGAGGTTAAGGCCCCTCCATTCCAGATGACTCCACCTATTCCTGAGGTCAAGCAAACAGGTAAATGATTCTTTAATTTCGTGGTAAAAGATTCCATTTTCCCTCTGACAGATCATTTATTAACATTTTGTATTTTTTATTAACCATTTTGCATTTGGAGTCATCTTGCATTCTAGTTAGACTGGCCAAATTTTAGCCTCCCTAAAAGAATTGACACCATTTGGTTCCTACCAAGTTTTGGCTTTTATTTTGGTGGTCTGGCTTTGGTTGGCCGGACAAACAAGGGAAGGGTGAAGTGGAAACTTAGTGAGAGTGACTGCACATAGTCCAACAGTTTCAGTTTCCAATCATTTTGCACTAGAAACAAAGGCATGGCTTTGCCACGCCAACACCAGATTTGGGCCAGTGTAGAATCCGGTGTGAGTCATAGTTACCTAGAGTTCTCTCCAAATGATGTATTCACCTAAATCTGTGCCATGGTCAGTAGAAATGGTCTTAGATGATGTTTCCACCTAAATCTTTGTCCCAGATTAAAAAACATAGTCATTGATTAACATGAGGAGTTGCATGGAGCTACAAATTCTCTTGCAAATGGTCGTGGCATCTGACACGGTTGCTATATATGGTCTCATTTTAGTTCACAGATAAGATATAACATAGTAGGCTCCATACCTACCCGAACTTGCGCAAAAGGCCTGATTCTTCTATTGGTACTGCATAAATTCCTCCACACTCTGTTGCTGCAACCTAACCCAATGCAGAGAAAAAGGACAATGATTTAGATACTGATCCAACAAAACTAAGAACAAGGGAAAGAGGCTAGTAAATAAAAATAATGAGGATTCAGACACCAGTTGCTGACATTGCGTATAGAATTTTTAGTCCATAATTTCTAGCAATTGTTAGGAATCAAACATTATTGGAAGATAGAAAGATTTATAAAATGAACCTGTATTGTAGACAAAGAAGACCGTAAGCATTTACTAATTGCAGTCACATGCTAACTAAATCTTTCTTTTTGAAACACTTGTGTGCAATCTAGAGAGTTTGTTAAAATGGAATTATATTAAGACTGAAGTTATTAGGAGGCATATATATGTTTAATTTAGTGCATATACGAATATATCAACTACTATAGTGATGGCCCCTTGTGTTTATTGATGTATAATTGAAATTGTTGTTTTCCCTTTTGTTACACCCAATGACTCAAATCTATATACCAGGTTACACTTGTGTTTAGAGGAAAAATTGTGAGTTCTCCATTTGGTGAACAAAATGAGTATACAACCAGTGAGATGATGGTAAATCAACAAATCGAAGGGAAAAAGGTATAAGGTCACCTCACCAGCTGATTGTTGGAAGAACATGGACCGTTGAAATTGCTTTACACATTAGATAATAGTAGATTACAGTGACTGTTTGATATTGGATACACTGCAGAAAATACATAGGTCAGTTTATTTAGGTGTTTCTTAGTTCAGTTTAAGTTGTTGTGAATGCCTTCCAATGTGGGTCTATATGAAGAATCGTAAAGGTACTAAAAGATGAATTAGAAATTACTTACATAGAAAATGCCTAAGAGGACAAAAACGAGTAGAATCAGGCCACTAATAAAATAGAAAATCCAACATAAGGCATCACAAAAAGGTAAAAAATGGACGGAACAGATGTTGATTCGCGGAGCTATTCTAACTCAGAGCCTAGATGGGTCTTGTAGATAAACATGAACATGACATGGATATAGAAGGTATACAAGAATATAAAAGCTAAGGATTAGACTAATTTGCCTCCATGAAAATTTGAATTGTATAGGCATTTCAAATCTTAATATTATTGGAAAAAAATAAAAACATATGTGTATGTGGCTGATGTTGAAATAAATTGAAAAAAGAGGGAGAGGAGAATATACCTAGTGGGCATAACGGAAGAGAGCTGGATTTAGCAGGGGCACCCACCGGATACCCGGAATTGGAGTTGTACTCTAGAATTGTCGCCTTGTACAAGAGAGAGAGGGATCATCATCACTCGTACTGTGGCCTTGTATACTGGAGAAAGAAGAGAGCAGCAGCATATGTGCTGGATCTGTTGAGGACGGAAGATAGCAGTGAGTGCCTTACCATGGCGGACCAGACTAGCGTGTGGTCTTAGGACGGGGCTGCTGCTGCTGCCCCTGCCGCCGCCTCCCCTGGTACAGGGAAGATGACTCGTGAAGCATCACGAACACACGAACATACGCCGAGCCCAGGTATTGGATGAACAGCCGATCAAACTCTATCACAGTGAGTATCTAATAAGAGGATTGGTTAGAAGCAGTACAGCAAAAAAGATCTCAAACAGAGCCCAGATAAGGATTGATTCATGGCATATACATGGAGATAAGGATGCGCTGTTCTCCTAATGGGCATTCCATCGAACACCTCATGTGTGCTATCGATGTCGACATCTCGAGGCCAAGGCCGGCGTCCTCCACCTTCACAGCGGCGGTGGCGGCAATGGGCAGCGAGACGTAGTCGATGCTACCGACGTCCACGGCGCCTCTCCTTCCCCTTTCTCCTTCCAATCCGACAAAAAATATGTTGAGTTCTCCGGCCTGGAAGAGTTGCGTTGTTAAGTAGCCAAGTGAAATCACAGCAGTATATGTGACGGATTTAGAATCTGCTTTGGCTCACCGTGTGGAGAGGTGGAGCTCTATTCATCTGTCTCACGCGAGGGCCACATGGCGTGGAGCATTTCAGGAGTGACCTGCTGTTGCTGCCTCAGCCACTCTGATTATGTTCTGAAACAATCCCATGTGTGCGCCTCGGCGACGAGGGCGCGCGAGCGGAGTAGGCCTTGCTGGAGGCCGTGGAAGTAGAAGGCGTGAGGCGTACCACGTTGCTCGCCGTGGCGCCAACAGTCGACGGAGTTCGCTGGCCGCTGCCTTGGATGTGCAGATGCGTCGCCGTCCGCGGCCGCGCTACCCCGCCTCGGTCGCGTCACCCAGCCTAGGTAGCGCTCGCGCCACAGTGTACCGCATTGGCGGCTCACACTGATGCGCCGCCGTGCGCGGCCCGCCCTCCACCTCGGCCGCGCAGATGCGCGCCGCCGCCCGCATAGTCACGCCGCCTCGCGACCCCGCTGCTGGTCTGCTGCGACTGCGCCTTCGCCGTCCGTGGCCGGTGCCGCGCCGCCGCGCCGGGGTCTCCGTAGGAGGGGGTCCGCCGGGGCTGCCGCGCCCGAGTCGCCTCGCTCGTGCCGGGGTGGCTGGGGACGCCGTCCCCGCGCCCCGCGGCCCCCGCCCGGTCCGTGGTGGCAAGTGGAGGCCGGCGGAGCCGGCGAAACGGACATGCGGTTTCGTGACGATTCTCGAACTCCCGTGCTAGAGGCATAATGGGTAAAACCCGAACCGATCCGCAATCGAACGGCCCATATCGTGAGTTTGCTGGATCCAACGGCTTGCGGATTATCGGATGACGTGGATTGCGGGTCTGCCCGAACCTTGGCTCTGGATTAGAGATATAGAGATTATAACTTTCCTTGTGTTTTTTGCCAACAAAACTAGGTCCATTCACGGGCCTGTTTGGTTGGCGGATGAGAAACCTTCAGGCATATATCTCAGGCGTCCATTTTTGAATGTCTGGAGGTTGTCTGGCAGGCTCCAACCAAACAAGCTCGTTAAATATAATTTTATGAAAAAATATAGACATATGTGCCCATACCTCACTCAGAATTTTGGTAGATTTGAGCTTCGTAATAATCCAAACACCCTTTTTCCCCCTAGATCCGAACACCATTTTTGCCACATTTTGGCCCCACCTAAATTTATCATTTCCAAAATTTACTTTAGGATTGCTCATCGGTCATGACAAAAGCCAAATAGACTCGAAGACTTTAAGGGCTATAAAAGCAGCCAACAGACTTCTCCACCGTAGGGCGACCAAATCGAACGTGTGAGTGTTTGCCTTCTTCCGATAGCATTTTAGTCCATGAACTAAATAGTCCCTAAGACTCGATGCAAGAACAAATTGACTCCCACCTATCCAAGTTCTAAGTCATAAATTATGTACTCTTAGGTGCTAATAATGTACATTTCACATGCAATTTGTAATGTTCTTAACACACATAAACAGTATTACTCCTATAAGTTGAGGCCGCAATTGTGAAGGGATTTATAAGCTTTTGCTTTAGGACTTGTTTGATGTACTCGCAATTCACATCAATCTACATGTGAAGGAGCAAAATTCATATAAGCAAGCCACCCACACAAGTAGTTAATCTAATGGTTGCAAGATTGGGAGGCGCCGCGGTGCGGGGAAGCCGTTGTGCTTGTTTGGATGTACTTGTCGGATTCACATCAATCTCACGTGGTGGCGCCCCAATTAGAACCACAGCTTTCGTGAGCATCTTCAAATTTGCATATAAGAAAACGGTAAAAATAGCAAAGTAACTTAGCATCAATAGCAACTCTAATGGTTGCAAGATTGGGAGGCGCCGGTGCGGGATCCGGGGCTCTTCGCTTCTTAGTGGGACCTTCGACGTCGAACTATCGCATCGACTGGTGCGAGCTGGAGGCGACGTCCCAAGTCAAAATGTCAAACTCCAAGATGGATTGTTTTTTACTTGTCACCCTTTGGTGGCGCCCAAGATTTATCAAGTGGTGCCGACAAACCACAGCTTTCACGAGGAGTCATAGAGCATCAAGCCGTACCCGCGCAAGGCGGACCCGAACGCCATGCACAGCGTCCGCGCGCTGACGGTGCGGTCGGTGGCCGCCATGGCCACCGCCACCGACGCGCCGGCGCCGGCCTGCACAGACTGGCACGACGTGCCGGCGCTGGTGTTCTCGGTCCGCGGGTACACGGGCAACTACTTCCACGCGTACACGGACGTGATCCTGCCGCTGTTCCTGACGGCGCGGCGGTACGCCGGCGAGGTGGTGCTGCTGGTGACCGACTTCCAGGCGTGGTGGGTGGGCAAGTACCGGCCGGTGTTCAGGAGCATCTCCAACTACGCGCCGGTGGACCTGGACCGCGACCCGCGCGTGCGCTGCTTCCGGCACGTCCAGGTTGGGCTCACCAGCCACGACGACTTCAGCATCGACCCGCGCCGCGCGCCCAACGGCTACTCCATGCTGGACTTCACCAAGTTCATGCGCGCCACCTACCGGCTCCCGCGCGACGTCGCCCTCTCCCCCGTGGCGTCGTCCTCGCGGGATCAGCGGCGGCGGCGGCCGCGGCCCTGGTGATCGCGCGCGCGCGCACGCGGCGGTTCCTGAACACGGAGGAGATCGTGCGGGGCGCGCGGAAGGTGGGGTTCGAGGTGGTGGTGTCGGAGGGGGCGCACGAGGTGGCGCCGTTCGCGGAGCTGGTGAACACGTGCGACGCGGTGGTGGGCGTGCACGGCGCCGGGCTGACCAACATGGTGTTCCTGCCCCGTGGCGGGGTGGTGGTGCAGGTGCTGCCGCTGGGCCCGCTGGAGTTCGTGGCCAGCTATTTCCGGGGCCCCGCCAGGGACATGGGGCTGAGCTACCTCGAGTACCGCGTCTCGCCGGAGGAGAGCACGCTGGTCGACCAGTACCCGCGCGACCACCCCGTGCTCACGGACCCGACGAGCGTCAAGGCCAAGGACTGGGTGTCCTTCATGGGGGTCTACCTCTTCAAGCAGGACGTCCGCCTCGACATGAAGCGCTTCCGCCCTGTCCTCAAAAAGGCACTCGCGCGACTTAGGGCAAAGCCCAAGAATAACAACAACAAATCAATCTTCGTTTCGCTGAAATTTGATTTATGTTAATTTTTATACTAATTTATTGTAAAAGAAAAATCACTGTTCGTTCGCTGATTCAAGCGAACACGACAAGCCCCAGCAATGTAATTTTGGTACGGTACCTCCTGCTGTAAATCTTTGAACGGAGAGCTTTCACTTCTACTACTACTATATATAGTTTTATATTACTACAAAAAAATCTTCTCCGTGATTGAGCCGATTGAGGTAGCCGCACATTTTTTACCTTCTCTGGCACGTTACCATATGATTAATTGATTATGTACATGATACTACGTCCCGAGTAATTAAAAAGCGCAGATAGGTCAACTTCCTACATGCTATACATATACAACACTTTGTTATCGGCGTGGCTTAATAAACGATCGTAAATTTCTAGTGAACATTATTTTTCTTTCAAAACAACCACCAAAGAAAGATTTCTTCATAAACCAAAGAATCGAAACAAAACCAAACCAACCAAACAAGTCGATAGTATTCGATCGTGCCATGTTGCTCCGCGGCAAACTTCTAATGGCCCTTGAAAGGAGAGAAAGATGTACAGATAGATTAAGAGCGTGTTTGGATGCATTAGCACTAAAAATTAGTAGCAGCTAACTATTAATTTTGTTAGCAGGTTTTGAGTTGTTAATAGATCATAATAGTTCATATGCACCTTCAATTTACTATCCAACCAGCTGATTTTTAGTGCTAAACAGATCCTAAGGTTGCTCATCTGCATTTCCGCTGCAAAGGAACATGGGATAGCGCTGGTTCTAGAGATTTGTCAGCACGTTGACCGTGATGCACGGCGTCGATAGCTAGTTCGTTTGAATGATGCAATCTAGTGACTCAAAGTATCTCTTGCGCCCAATCTCGCGCTCTGTGTAGTAGAGTATTCGAGGAGTCATCGCACAAGCAGCTCGCAACTATCGTAGATTACTCCTGCAAGGAGAATCTCAAGAAGCTATAGCCCATAGGCATTATACAGGGTGGATTCTCTCGATCCATCCGTTTTTATAATATGTTATGTGTACTCCATTTGATCCAAAATATATATACTCTTTACATTCCTAAATAAATTAATTTCTAGAGTTATCTTAAATCAAACTTTTTAAATTTGACCAAATTTAAAAAAACATTCCAATTTATGACACCAAATTAGTATCATTTATATAATACCATAAACTATAAATTTTTAATGTGCTTGTTTGGTGTCACATATATTTGTATTTTTTTTGTAAATTTGATCAGATATAAATAAATTTTGACTTTAGACAACTCTAGAATAGATTTATATAGAGACGAGGTAGTAGGTCATTGTAATTTTGCTCTATGTAATCTAATAAGTAAGTTCATAGAAAAAATACACCATCTATAAGCATCAAAATAGTTTTGTTAATTCATAAAAATGTTTTGTTAAAATCCATCTGTTATGATCTCGCGTGGCTAGATGGAACTTGGGATTGGAAATAGCAACATCAGGGGAAGAACAGGGAAGAACACGGCTGATTCTTTCTTTCTTTCTTTTTTTTTGAAACAAAAACACGGCTGATTCTCGAGCCAACAAAAGCCGCCAACGAAAGCCGTTTTCAGTTACAAGAATGATGAGGTGCTTATGTTCATATTCCACCGCTGCGCAACTACACAGTCCACAGGCCACCCTCAGAAGCCCACTACCTTCACCCACTCTAAAGCCCAAAGCCGGCCCATTATATCATTACACCATCACAAAATGTGTTTTGATAGTCCATTTATTTCATATATATATTTATATAAAGTTGGTTATAATTAGAAAAGTTTAACTTAAACAAAACTAAAACAATGTATATCTTAAAACAGGTTGAGTCACAGCCAAAATGTAGATATGTAAACATAGGCTTGCTTGGTTTGAGCCGGAAGTTATCTGGTAGCGACTGGTTAATGCAAATGCATGACACCCTCGTTATTTAGGGCTGACCAAAATTTTAGCAGATGTGTGTTTAGATCATTAATTTTGATTTGGCCAAGACAAAAAGGTGTCAAACTATTCTAGTCAATGACAAAACGAAGCCTACATATGCTTAAAATTTTACAGTGTCAAATTGAAGTTCAATCAACATGAAGCCCTACATATGCTAAGCAGATTGAACTCATTCCTCCCCAGAGTGACAGAAACATCAGCGATGGAGTGAAGACGCCTAGCCGCCATCTTGCAAGATGCCCATGTTAACCATCCAAACACAGAGAAAATACGTAGTGAAAACTACATGTTCAATAAAAACATGAAATTAAAACCAACTCAAAAAAACATATTTATATCACTTGATTTTTTAAAAACTTAGCATATCCACTGCATCAATATATGTATTTACATGCAAAAGTTGGTATGCAAACTCTTTTTTGAAAAATACATACAAAAATGATAAATTTCAGATGCATGTCCACTAGAATACAAAATTGCATGAATTGTCTTCTATTGACATATACCTGAAATTTGTCATTTTCATATAAACTTTTCTAGATGTGTCATTTGCGTCCTAACTTTTACATGTGAGTAGGTATATGAACTATAGATGTGCCACGTTTAAAAAAATTGAGTGATCCAAATATGTGTTTTTGTGTTGGTTTTTCTATCAAAAATTAATGTAGTTTCCACCATAGTATTTTTCGACAAATACAGTGCCAAATTGCAAAAAAAAAAGAGTGATTGAAACATGTTTTTGAGTTAGTTTCTATGTTTCCGTCAAAGACGGATATAGTTTCTATCACGTATTTACCCCACAAATACAGCAAGTGCTAGTTTAGTAAAGCTTCACTTCCTAATTCTTGAGCTTCACTCTGGGTGATTCTAGTGTGGGAGCAAGGTGGGAAGCAGTTGGAGTGATTTTAGAGTGAGTCTTTTAGCTCTCAGCTTATAGTGTAAATGAAAAGGTGATCCTTGTTAACTTCCTGTTAAGATATAGTTACATATTGATAGAGCTCTACAAAATCCGATTGAAGGAGCTGAGAGCACAGCTCTATCAAACAGACCTAACCTTTGTTCCGTCACAGCAGTTTCTTGTTGGAAACAAAGCCCACTGGGCCTCAGACTGAGTACGAAGTCCTAAGCAGCGCCTTCTCGGCCTACGCGAATTGAAGTGCGTCTAGAATGGACATACATGGCTAATCCATGCCGCCTCTGCTTGTAAACATTTGCTTCCAGTGATCCACATGTTTCAGGGGAGGAAAATTGGACAGTTCCCACAATATAACTATGAACAAAGCAACCAAACGGTTGATACTAATCATCATTTTTATTTCTTTCTAGCGCATCCAACGTGGATTGCACTGCAAGGCATCTTTACAGTAAATTATCAAGATATGAACGGAACCAATTTATTCTTTATCAGCCTGTAGCCCTCCCTATACATTAGTATGAGACCTTTTGCTAACTAATCATTTCATTTCTCGTATATTTCTTAGCTGGTAAAACTTCCCTACAATTACAGTGTGGTCCACTTACGACAACCCCAAAAATCCTCCTTCCGACCAAAGATCGATGCGCCAGTTAGCTGAAGAATCTGCTGTTTACCCCAGCCCTGTACAGATGCACAGACTCGGGGCCACACGCAGAGATCTTAACCTCAGTGTATGCGGGGACGAAGAAAACATCACCTTCCTTTGCCTTTTCTCCATTTGACATAGAATCCAACTGAATCTTGCCTTCCCCGGTCATTACGAGAAAGATGGATGGACCTGGTACCCGGGATATGACAACCAGTTCACCTGGAGGTACCAAGCAGCAATCGACCTCAAACTCGTTAAATGGAGGGGTGTAGCGCCTTACGTGTGGCTGCACAGGAACTCCGCGCAAAATTTCTGGGAAGGCCTGAATACAAAAAAAGACCCACAGTAGATCAATTAAAGAATAAATCACAAAATCATGACAGTGGCACAGAACAACTAACTGATCTCTTGCAAGATTAGTTTGTTTGATTAGAAAAAACTAGATATCAAGGATTTTTCACTAACTCCTAACACCAAAGAGAATATGAGCTTGGTACCAACTTGTAAGGTTCATCATAAGAAAAATGATCCATGGATAACACTTTAACAGCGCACTGAATTCTGAAGCATTTGCTCACTGGGAGATAATAAACAAGAGAGAGGTACTTGCCAAGTAAAGTACTTATGGAACAAGTAAATATAAATGGAGAAATATACTGTATATGAGAAACAATAGTAACAATGACACACCTGTTTGTATGTTAGCATTGAGCAGAGAGTTTGCACATCTATGTATTTAGGTGTCAAACCAGCACGTACAACGTTGTCTGAAGTGGCCATAATTTCAATGCATTCCCCAGAGAGGTATGCATGCGGTTCATTGGCACCAATATAAAGGGCTTCACCAGGACTGAGCTTGACATAGTTAAAGAAAAGTGCTGCTAGAACTCCAACATCGTCTTGATATTGTCTCTCCAGGGACAAAACCAGCTGTTCTTTGTCTGTTAAGGTCCTAATCTGAATAGAGCTAGACATTGTCATTCAAAGACACAATCGATGGCTTCTGAATAATTGTTCATCAGTTTTTTTGCAAAAATGGCAAGGTGTGGATGGTACATTAGATGATATACTGATATCACACATTCTTTTTTTTGGAGAGAAAGGAGCCCATTTGTCTAGTTGCTTATCAGTTATCGCCATTCAGGTATGTTTTTCAACCAGAAGAAATTGCACTGGACATGTACATCTTAACTATTGCAAATACCAACCTATACTTCTAAAATATGGCAGCTTACTGCCTATAGATTCAATTTAGTGCATATTTATTGACATTTGAGATCTGCTTGTAAAATTTTGCTGGATGCCTGGATAACTTTACTTAGTGTGCCAAACAAAAAAAAGTGATGAAATGTCAACTTCAAAAGATTAGCTGGCCATAGGACAAAATAGGAAATGCATAGGTGCTGCCAGTGCAAATTTGTCTGTACTGCAACAGAGAAACAAAAAGGATAATGCATGCATATAAAAATGGCAACATGGGGTGCTTGTAGCATGGAAACTTTCTAGCTTTCAATCATTTACTACTATCTGTTAGTAGCATTACAGTTTCCAATGTCCCAAATGAAAAGATTTAACATTTGAGGCTTTGTGATTAACGATAACAACTTGTTAATTTATGCTAAACATGTGTCTTTTGATTTTAGATGCAATGCCACGGCACCATGTTAACCACTTTTTTTAGGAAGCATCGTGCTAGTTAATATCTGTTATTAAATATAAATGTGTCTTGACCAACATAATAATTAGCGTTGCGAGCAACAGATCACCTTGTAAGCTACGTGCAAGCTTAGCATTATCTCATCTTTACATTTAACAAATGATACCCAAGTTTAGCACTTAGAATTGTGTCGATTGCAAGCTGAGGTGGAAGCTTTAGTGTAATTGTGCACTCATTTGAGACAACAGCTCTTCCATGCCTCTTGGGAGTAGCGTTGCAACAATCCACAAGCAACATTTCCTTCGCTTACCAAAATGAGAAGTCCTAATTTTCCAAAGAACTTTGCCAATTCATCTCCAGGTGAGCTACCATCTCTCTTACAACTATAACAATAATAAAAAATGGTTCTAGTCAATATTCTTCTGCTGATAGGTGCACTGGGTATACTGAAGGGTGCATATCTTCTTCTTTTTAACGCAATGAAGAGTGCATATCTAGCCTATCTCAAACCTTGTGCATACCAATCCCAACATACAACCCTCTGAGTTGTCCAATTATAATATCTATAACGATTACTGTCTCCTTAACCATCCATAAGTTGCAACAAGCCACAAATCAGACATCTCAAGGTATGACCTCACCTACAGGAGCATTTCAGAAATGGGAAAGCATTCGAGCAAGCAAACACTAGAAGTATTTAAGGGGCTAATATGTTTTTTTACTATGTTGCCATCTCTATAGCTCAATAGCTCTAGAGTGGTATAGAAACCAAGGAACCAGACCCAACATATCTAAACAACCTTTTCATCAATTAAAAAGTTTCAAGACACATGGCTCAAGAAATTTTTTTTGTCCGTGTCGAATTAGGTGTCAAATGTGGCCTGCTACCATGACCTCTACTACAGCTCGAGGCCGAAATGTTTCCCAAGGGTGGGGGAACGTTATGGGGTGTCAGCTAAGGTGCCTAGGGCCCATAGGATTAATTTAGAGGGATTTGACCAATTAGAGATATGATTAGATACGGGTGAATTATAAATAGAATTAGATATGGTTTGTTAGGATTTGATTGGACCTTCCTTAGGTGATCAGAAATCCTCTATATATAAAGGGAGGTGATGTATTAGGGAAGCAAGAAACGCAGAAGAATTAATCACCAAGTCCCCAATACTCTAGTCCCCCTCCAAGCCGACTTTGCCCAGCTATTTTCCTGGCCTAAGGATCATAACCTAGCTCAAGAGTGGTATAGAAACCAAGAAACTAGACTCAACATATCCTAAACTTTTTTCATCGTTTCAAAAAAATAAGATCTTTTCAAGGCATGTGTCTTAAGAAAAAGTAAGCCCAACATAAATAAACAACCAGAGAGAGAAATTTGATAGCAACATCCAGGATCTGATAAAATGTATGGAAGTTATTATAACTGATGTCACAACAAACTGTAGAAGCTCGTAGCAATTATAGGCTAAGAAAATCTCTCACCTTGCTGTCAGTATTCAGGCGATTGATCAGTTTTGCAACTGCTTCAGAAACCATATCTTTACTTGCTGTCATTAGCTTAGCAAAAGCTGATTGCAAACTGGACTTTACTTCACTAACCCCATAATACTCCTTCATGTTCATCAGCTTGCCAGTATCTTCATGCCCAACTAGGCCTTCAATTTCAGGAACTGTCCTCAGGACATCCTTGAGCTCCTTCAGAATGGTATAAATGGTATGTTATTTAAGATGTAACTGTTTGTGCTTTCCAGACTAGAAGGTCAAATAAAAGAGGACATGTTTCCTCTTTAAGAAAGATAAATAAAAAACAAAAGGAGTGAGTATATAAAATGATCGCTCTATAACGAATAAGCTGTCCTACAGCTGGCTCTTTTCCTGGTATAATCAATAATTTATAGAATATATCTCATCCAGTATCCAGTATTCATTAAAAAAAACCATTCACAGTGGACTACGAAATGAAAGATATTCAACACCTGATGATAATGACGATAAGCATAAAAAACAGAGCTCTGATAAAACCAAATATTATGTAATGACAAGATAAGGATTCCTAAATGACCCTGCCTGTATTCTCTACAGTTTAAATCTATACTCATGGCCACTGAAATAATAAAAGTACTGTGCCCCAGGGCTGGCTGCTTTTCAATAGAACAAGCATGTTTGCGCAAAGTGATGGCAGGTAGTGAATGAAAGAATATAGGTACAAAGAACCAAAGCTGAGGGACAGTAGTGATCAACAGTGGCCAAATACAACATTGAACTTAGAAGATGGTTTTATTAATCTTGGTTTTAGTTTATATCAAACACTACTATGGGTCATGCCTATATGTACTTTTATGATTCGCAGAAAAGCCCAATTTTGTTATTACTTCCTACAACCAACTTTTAGACAAACAGGGGGGGGCAGCTATTACCTGTCAACATATTTTATCTCTAGATCATTCGGGTTTTTTTTCTAACGTTGGATTGAAACTGAAGAGTCCTTATTCTACCATGCTTTCCTGCAACATATATTTAATTTCTCTACTTTGAACATTGTTTCTCTTAGACTGGAACATTACAGATGGGCCAAAAAAATTGTTGTCAAATAAATAGTATTTCTCAAATAAAAAAGTAGCCTTTTGTCCAATATTTTTTTCCCTTTAGCTACGACATGTCCAAATATATATTATAAAAATGTGATTTGGAAAGAAGAAGAAAAAATATGAGTGTTGTCCTGCAAATCATGTCACGGCAGTTATGTGGGATAATCCTAGGAAGTTAGTTCCATGTCAATCTGCTTTCCCAACTTGAGAAAGCAGACACAATTGACATTATTGGTGCACATTATTTGTCTCATTTCTTTCCTAAGTAGGGAAACCCATTAAACAAAATTTCTTATGTCAGCTACTCAACAGAATTTTCTTATGTCCACTACTAGTAGCAGCTTAAGGTATCAAAAGTATTGTTACAACTGCACATCAAGAATACATATACCAAACCATAACGTCTCCCAACTAATTTATTCACGAGACCTCAAACGATAGATTTCCTTCATCTTAGGTCTCAGCCGCCCAAACATCAAACAGAGAGAAAGAAATCATCTTGATTCTTGACTACAGTTATAGTAGATCAAAACCAAGCGAGTTGTAGGCTTTTAAAATAACAAGTTGGTGCCAAATTTGAAGAAGCAATCGCGTACTTTACTTTCGGTCTTCTCATATACATTTGAACTTGCTAGCCGATGGTTCAACGACAAACGGTTGGCTGAGAAAACAAATAAAAAACTCGGCGACCGAGAGCAGAAAAAGAAAATAAAAAACTAATTCAAGTTGTAAACACGTTACCTCAATAGCGGCAAAGCCGCAAAGCGCCCGGAACTCCGTGATGGCGATGGCCATCTCCGGCTTGTGATTGTCGTCCTTGTAGGTGGACGGCCGCAGCGCGTGCAGCACCTCGGCGAGTTTCTTGTCCGGGTGCGCCTGGATCGAGAGCGCCTTGGCCACCGACAGGACCTGCAACCGCGAACGGGAAGCCAAGTCAACCAGCATTCGAGACAGCAAAAAGAACGCGATGCAAATATTGCTATTTAAATTCCATATATGAATCTAATCTGAATTCATCCAAGGCACGGAACCGTTCGTCCACGGCCAGTCGTAGTACCTTGAAGAGGAATGGGAGGTCGCCTCCCCAGCGCGCGGTGACGGCGGGGCCGAGCGCGTCGGGGTTCCGCGCGAGCCAGTCCCTGAGGAGCGCGCCGTCGCCGAGGAGCGTGGAGGGGCCGGACGGGTGAGTGCCCATCCACAGCTCGGCGTAGGGGCGGGCTGGGTCGGGGTTCTGGTCCGCGAGGCGCGCGACGAGGGAGGCGGCTCCGCGCTGGCCCCACTCGTAGTGCTGCACCGCGCAGCGCAGCCGCAGCAGCCTTTGCGGCGGCGCCGGGGTGGCCTCGGGCTCCGGCTCCGGCTCCGGCGGAGCAAGCGCTCGTGGGTCCTCCATTGGGCGGGGATTTCAGATGGGTTTGAGGACGGTTGGAGCGAGGGGGAGGAGCGTTTGGATTTTAAAGGGGAGGGAAGAGGAGGCCGCGGGCTGGCGGGCGGGTCGGCGGCGGCACAAGGGGGAAGACGACTCGCCCGATGCGGCGTGGCAACTGAATTGACCGTGTCAGTTGTCCTCCGGTTCGGAGTCATGCGTTGGCTACTAGGCTAGCTGTGCCTGTGATTGACCGGTGGTGGGGACCACTTTGCCTTCTTCTTCTTCTTCTTCTTCTTCTTTGAATTTGAAACAATTGCCTTCTTCTTTTCTTATATAAATCGCTTTTCCTGCTTCCGCATCGATCCGGATGTCTAAACATTCGATAATCTGTGACTCAAAAAAAAAATTCGATAATCTGTTTTTAGTGTTAATATAGATCATATTTATATCATGTTAAATGAGTATTTGAATCCATTTTTATGATTATTTCTATTTGCGGAGGTTCAGGGCACGGGTTTATGGCGTGCGCCCGTGTGTAAATGCGCCGGGCCGGAGGATATCTAGAGACCATTCACAAGTCGGGATTTTTGACTGCGCGCGTAAAAACCGCTGCGAAGTGCGAACTGCTAACACTTGACCGGCAAGAAGAATGAGACAGATGTTAATCTTGATCTCTACTCCGTACTCGATTACGGTTACACAATCCGATCACAGGTATAATAGTGGTAGTTTCTTTTGTTAGGTTTAGGATTTCATGTTCAAAAATAAAACAAGATATTCGGTATTATCTATATCCGTGAAGAACAAAATACCATCTAAAACATATATTTATGACTATTAACAATATAAATGATAATTATTTTAATATGACTTAGTTTAAAATATTTAAAATTATCTCTATGGATAATATGGCTAATCATAAAGGTTAAGTTCAATTTATGATAATTTAAAAACTTATGTTTCTATAATTTAAAATATTATTAAAAACTTATATCTATGATTATTTAAATATTATAATTAATGATGTGTAAAGGTTAAGTTTAATTAACTCTAATATGACTAATCATATAAATTTTAAGTAATTTAGTTTATATTTATGAATTTTTATATATTTAAATTTATTATTGTTCATATATTGTGATTTTTACATATTTATCTGCACTTCTATTATTATTTATATATTTGACTATTAATACATATGTTATTTTAAGAGTTGTCTTTATCTACCTTTGCTATATAGTCACATTTTAAACATCAACGTGCATATTGATATTATTGTACTATAGAACTATTAATAAGTAAATCTAAATATTATCTTAAAAATCAAGTAGACATCCAAGTGTGGATCTGAATTTGAATTCGTTTTGTATTTGATCCAATAATATCAGTATCGATATTCAAATTTAAATTAAAATATGATAAATAGTGCTATTCAGACTCCATTCCACACGAATCTAATCCAAATTTATCCCTATTCCTAGTCAACCTTTTTCAAATAGACCCTTGCAAAAATAGGCATTTGGATATTTTCTTAACTAACTCTGTTTTTTATCCATGATTCAGATGGAGGCGAACAAAGCTTTTTTTCTAGATAGATGTTGGCCTGTTTGGTTCCATTGGCTACACAGTAATCCTCTCCATTTTAGTCCCATTTAGTCTCTAAATTACCAAATAGGGAAACTAAAGGCATATAGTCTTTTAGTCCCTTGAGGGACTACTGTTTTGGAGACTACAAGCCCAAAAGAACAGCTCATGCCCCTCAATTATTGTCCTTCCACCAATTTCCCAGCAGATTAGTGCATGAAATAGATGTATCTTGGTCTTTGTTCAACTGCCTTAATGATCTTTAGTCACTTGAATCAAACAGAGTAAGGGACTAAAATTTAAAATTCAGTCCCTATTTTAATCTTTAGTCTCTAGTCCCTTGAACCAAACAAGCTCGTACCGTAGCGCTACATCTCTTAGAGCAAGGCTAATAAAAAAATCGGCTTGCTGGCTATAAGGTTTCTGTGTAGCTTTCTCTCACCCATCCATATAGTAGTTGGCTCTTCACTATTAATACATGGCCCACTTGCATCTTTCACAAAAATTCTTGATTCTTGTGCCTAAACCGGCTGTAAGCTTACAACCCGCTTCTCTCATCTCTCTCTCTCCTCTCCTCTCTCTTCCACCTCAGCATCTAGCCAGCTTACAACCTGCTATTATACTTGCTCTTAAATAAGTAATAGCGGATGTTGGTAACTTAAATGTAGATTTAATGCGACATTTAAATTTAAGTTTAATACCTATGTAAATTTAGGTTATTTTAATTACATTTCACAAATGGCAATTTTCTTGGGTTACCCAATACTCTCTCCGTTCTAAAAAAATACAATTCTAGTTTTGAATCTGGGCAAAGCTAGAATTATGTTTTTTATGACGGGAGAAGTTTGGGATTAGGAGTGGTATGTGAAATTTGGCATGGGTGGGCCCTCCATGCACCGTAGTACACTAGTACAGGAAAACGGTTGCCTCCACCGCCGGAGAATCAACGCCATCACGCACGCTGCACGCAGAAGGAGCGGAAAATAAACCGCCGTGCCTCCCATCCCACCGTACGACGCATCCATCACACTGGAGATTTCCGTGATGAAACGGAAACGCGTCGTGGATTCGTGGCGCGCGCTTATCGGCTTCTGCCGACGGCGGATCCGAACGAGTCCCCACGGCACGGGCGCACACACACCGTCACGACGTGACGCTAACCGACACACACAGCACAGCACCGAAACCACCGCCGGACCCCGGCACGTGGTGCGCGCTCCCCGGGCCGGCGTGGCGTCGCCGGCGCTTCCTCGCCTCCCGAGCGCACTGTGTCGCACACTCGCTGCAGCTACGCGCCCACACCCCAGCCAAGAAGGACCGTACGGTCTCACTCCCGCGGGCAATTAAGCGGGAGGCAGCTGGCCCCGCAAACACGCCGCAGGTACCCATGCCACACTGCGTTTCGATCGGCAGCCATCGTCTTGTAGATGCCATAAACAAGGACCCACTGACACGAAATCAATCGCTTTCAGTGCCTCCATGCGGGTCGGCAACCGCCGCCGAGCATGGAAGCTGTCCAAGCAGTATTAGCATACAAGTACGGAGTACACCGTAATTTTTTTTATACTCCCTCCGTTACGAAGGAATCAATTTCTAGCTAAAAAAATTTATCTACAGAAGAATCAATTTGAGGTGAACGGTCCACAGATCCATATTAATATCTCTCGTAGTCTGGGTCATATTTAACACAGCCTCTCTCTCCTCCCAAACTCCCCATCTGTTGGCCCCAAATCCTACAGTCCCGTTGCTATTGGATACTCCAAACGACGCTACTCAATTAAGATTCTCGGTAACTGGAGAGCTATTAAGGTCCTTCAGTTTAATCAAGGGCAACATTGTCTTTATCTTATCTGCTAATATGTTCTAAAGTTGCTAGAAATTCGTTATTTCAGGGACAAATGGAGTAATTTCTCCTATAGTATAGATTTGAAATATACATCTTTAGATAACCTTTGAAACGTAGGAATTTCAAGTTTCACGGGAACCAATCTTTGGCAAAAAAAAAAAACAAATAAAGAAAATAGAAAAAAAAACACATTAAGGCTTGGCGTTGAATCTCACGAGTTGAAGCACTTCCAGATATCGTAACGTCAACTGCGTACGTACTACTTCTCCTGTGATCCCAGATCAAAGACTTTCAACAGCTGGAGATCCGTGCCTGTAGCATGGAAACCGTTGACGTTCTAGATTACTCACGAAATCTCTACGCAGTGCCAACTTTTTTTTTTTTTTTGAACATAATGGACGAACCTGTCTTCCGAGTTAGTTAAAGCGACAGGGGGCCCTTTAGGTTCTCTCTCAAGTCTCAACTGCACGCTACTTGTTTTGGACTTGGACGATCCAGAGTGTCATGTAGCGCACACGGACAGACTGGACTACGTTTGCTTTCTAGACCAACGACGACCAAGGTATTTATTTGATCGGGAAACAATGGAAAGAGAGGTTCAAATTCAGGTGAATGCGGTCTTGGCATGTGATCCAGATGCTTCAATTCCCCCACACAATTCGATGGCAGGAGGATGGTCGACAAGGTTGCGCTAGAGGAGAAACAAATTCAAAGTTCTAGGAGATTTGCCATTATTTCCTTCTTCTACACAACAGTTTGCTATTTGATTGATTGATCAGGGCACCTCTAACGGCCAGTTCTATACTAGTATTAGATATCGATCACGTGGAAAGAAAGAGTGTCAAAACCTTTGAGCCAACGCAAAAGAAGATCTAAACTTTTTGCACGTCACAATTTATGAGAGACATAATAACCCCTCTATCTCTCTCTTAATAGTAGAGAATATATAATAACTCCTATCTCTCTCTCTCTTAATAGGAGGAATACATGAATAGAGAATAAACTTACATATATAGCAAAAGGAAGAGTTATCATGTAAAAGTTGATACCTAACTTTTACTATTAGATAATGTGCCCTTAGCATGTTATTACATCCGTTCTAAAATAAAGTACAAATTCTAGAATATAGTGTTTAGTCAATCTTTCTTAAATTTGACTAATTTATATAAAAATTACTAATATTTAACAATACTAAATATATATCATTAGAATGAAATATGTTTTATAGTAACTTGTTTGAAGTCATAAATACTGATATGATTTTCTATTAATTCTATTCAATAAGATAGTTTGACTTAGGTGTTGTTTATTATTGTTGTACAGAGCCAGTGAAACTAAAAATCGTGGCTCCATCAGCCCCTCCTATTCTCAGTTCGTTTTTACCTCTGAAATCGAAATGGGCCTGTGCTACAGTGTCAAACAGTGCTACTACAATGTTTTTAGTTTTAAGGAGGAGCCGAACACTTAGGAGCTATATACGAAACAAGGCCTTAGATTCGTGCTAGAAATTGCATGGTTGGAGTGAGCACACACTACGGGAATCAGTGGCTTTGCCGAGTGCTAGGGGCACTCGGCAAAGCCCAAAAAATGTCGG